TGGCTGTGTGTGTTAAACATAATATACTTTCCACGCGTTACTAATATACACGTGGTTTTGTGTGTTAATCATAATATACTTTCCACTAGTTACTAATATACACGTGGTTTTGTGTGTTAATCATAATATATTTTCCACCAGTTACTAATATACACGTGGTTTTGTGTGTTAATCATAATATACTTTCCACTAGTTACTAATATACACGTGGTTTTGTGTGTTAATCATAATATATTTTCCACCAGTTACTAATATACACGTGATTTTGTGTGCAAATCATAATATACTTTCCACTAGTTACTAATATACACGTGGTTTTGTGTGTTAATCATAATATACTTTCCATCAGTTACTAATATACACGTGGTTTTGTGTGTAAATCATAATATACTTTCCACTAGTTACTAATATACACGTGGTTTTGTGTGTTAATCATAATATACTGATGACATGTGGTTTTGTCCATCAGTAACAGATACTTGGTTTGTGTGTTTTAAACATAAAATACTTTCCATCCGTAATGCATAATACATGGTGTTCTGTGTTAATGATAACATGTTTTCTATCAGTAATAGGCACGTGGATACCTGTGGTAATCATAATATACTTTCCATCAGTCATAGACACATGGTTTTCTGTGGTAATCATAATATACTTTCCATCAGTAATAGACATCTGGTTTTCTGTGGTAATCATAACATACTTTCCATCAATAATTCACACAATTTTTTCTGTGGTAATCATATAATATTCTTTCCATCAGTCTTTCAAAGACAAATATCCTTGGTGATATTTTAGTTTGGACCTAAACCATTTCACCGTTTTATGGCCAATATATATTAAATAATAACCGAAACTAAATGCTTAATAACGTTTCTTCAGAGTTTGAGTGGTGTAGACCCATATAAAATTAACATCTACCTGAAACGTCCATCAAACACTTGACGTATAACTTGCTCGTTAAGAAAATATGCGACACACGTTACATAACAAGACACATTTTGGCAGACATGCGTGACTTTCTAACCATATGTTAAACATGCAATTATGCAAGAGCTAAATCTGCCTATCGCAAGTCTTTCTTTAGGCCTGAAATCTTATCTAAATTATTAATTAGACATTAATTAACTTATCCAGACCATAATCAACTCTCGATGTCAAGGCTAGCCTTCGATATCGACTGGATTAGAATCCTATATGCTGCAAACGCTCATTGATAATTAAACCAAAACAATGGATAATCGAGACTATGTTTTTTAAAGTACTAACTTTAGTAATGATGAACGAGGCTAGGCGGAAATTTACAAAGCTGATATCTATAGTGGACCAATTTGACTGAAATTTTCAGCAAATTACCTTTACATTATCTAGTTTTTAACTATTATAGTAAGAACTGTCAGCTCTTTATCTAATCTCCCATAATGTATCTTTAAATCTTCACAACCGACATACCGGAGAATAAAGAAATGAAAAGAATTGGGGTTTAATGTCTTACTTTTTTACACCAACTGGGATAATGTAGAGGGACATTTTGCCGGGACTGTATATTTTGATATGTTATAATATATGGAATCGCAGACTATATTTTTAGATATTGAATTGAATATTTTGAAACGTGCAAATGTATATATTGACATGTTCAATTGTAGACTATATTTTCATAATTTTGATGTACTTTTCATATTTCAGATTTTATAATATATTACCTCGACAACCCGTAGACTATGTGTTGTATATTAGTTGTCTAACAGTGGTCTACCATATAATATGTAAGTATCTGTTAAATATATTCTACAGAGTGCTAACTCCTTCAAGAACACCTGTAACCACTTCTGAATTTTTAAAGTGCCCTTGGTTTAAAAAAATTGTATGTTTAAAACCAGTCTACTGAATCAGTAAAATTGACCGTTCTCCACGGTTTTGGGAACCCTGCTAAGCAAATACTAGTAGGCTATTCTATTCTTGCGAAAGAGGAGAGAGAGAGAAATGGGGTTTAACGTCCACTCGACACAAACTAGGTCATTTCGAGACTAACATATGGTTTAATTTTATTTCAATAATTCGCTTGCGCATAGGGGTCTTTTAGCAGTGGGAGGAAACCGGAGGACCCGGAGAAAACCCACGAGGTTGGACAGGCGACCCTACTCATTGTCACGTACAACCGGGGATTCGAAACCACGCCAGTCGACTCAAAGACAGACTTTATGATACAGCGCGCTTGCTAACCATTCAGCCACCCCCCCCCCCTTCTATTCTTGCCAATAGCGCATCTTCAGAGATATAAATTCTACTAAATCAAAAGATACGGCCCCTAACGGTATAGTCAATAAAACGGCATACTGAAAAATAAACTGAACGTAATGTGATCACAAATGTGAAATGAAATGAAATGAAATGGAGTTTAACGTCCTACTGTTCTGCTCCTAACCTGGGCTAATGAAGACGGGCATACGCCATACAGTGTGCTATGAGGGAAATTTTGCCCGGACAGCGGCACTACGGCCTACTCTTATATCGAATTCCAACTGCCAAGGGATCTTTTACGTGCACGCCAATGTGTACACGGGACCTCGGTTTTTCGTCCCATCCGAACGACTAGACAGCTTTCCTTGTCAGCCCCTCCGTCCTGCATCACTGGATGAACTTTCTCGGCCAATGCAGGGATCGAACACCCGACCTCCAGGCTAGCGAGCTAGCGTCTTACCCACTTAGCCACGTGATCCCCGATCACAAATGTGATTGGAGTATATTGTCGTTGCCCCCTTTCTTATGCTCCAGAGGCTTGAAGTTTATACATGTTGTGAATGTTTATCAATCTGATTAAAATACAGATCTATATTTCGTTTCGTTTTTTTTATATTTTCGATAGCCTACACTACATGAATATCTGACCAGTTGCACTGGGAGGTCGCGTCAGGGGTCATACGAGCAGCTTTTGACCCTATAACGTCAGGCATTGATGAATCAATCAGCGTTGACGTTTCTAGGGGTTTACCCACAGTTCCGTGCAAAGCATGCCAAAAACTCGCGTTAACAGACCGTTTCATTGACTAATTTCTCACTAGAACGCCTGTTATATAACAATTCTTACGGATCAAAGTGTTGTGAAGACAAGTAAAACGAAATTTTCAATATATAATATATAAAACGAAACGAAATAGGATCTGTGTTTTAATCAGATTGGAATGTTTATGAGACGGACGAAGAATCCTGTTGATTTTCAATAATTTTCGATAATTGCTGTCGGAGCTATGGTTCTTTAATAATTTTGTAGACACAAGTTATCTGACTGGCTTAAACACCGTAATTAACTTCATAAAACGAAGAATATTTCCATTGATTCATAAGGCGCCAACCTCTATGATGGACTGCTCGGATGACTTGGTTGCTGTGGAGGTGATTTTTATTCTCTGGCATTTATGTATTTCAATACACCCACATTGAAACATTGCCCATGCACCGCCCACATTATCTTGGTGGGGCTACAGTTTTTGCCCTTGATAACTTTGAAAATATTTGTGACAAACGCAATGGACTGTACGATCGACCTGGCCGCTATGAGTATATCTTTAATTGCCTGGCAACTATCTTTTTATATGATTTTAGATGGAATAATGTCTACACCAGATTGGAATGAAAGAGAATCAAATGTAAGTATTTTCATACACCCACATGTTAGCCCTTTAGCACAATATGTCAATAATTCATACTGGCATACTGGTATTCCTGGACAGATCGAAACCATACGAAAATACAGCTCCTTGACCGCCCCAAACAGCCAGGTATATATGAATAGCTCTCCACATTGTTAAACCGTATACTAACCTTTGGGGACACCACAATTATTCACATGAATCGACATTGCTAATTAAGGAAACGTCAAGGAATATACAAGAGGTAAAGGGTCGGTGTGATCATACACTGTTGCTGCTCCTGGGTTAGTTTCTGTGGAGATTGGATCAACAAACGAAGCCTCATCTATACGTTGTAGTTGTGATTCGACGAAGAGAGGGGGGTTGGGTGGCCAAATGGTTAGCACGTGCGCGCTGTATCATAAAGCCTGTCATTGAGTCAACTGGCGTGGTTTCGAATCCCCGGTTATACGTGCAAGGAGTAGGGTCGCCTGTCCAACCTCGTGGGTTTTCTCCGGGTCCTCCGGTTTCCTCCCATTGCTAAAGACCCCTACGCGCAAGCGAATTATTGAAATAAAATTAAACCATATGTGTCGAGTGGACGTTAAACCCCAATTTATCTCCCCCTCTCTCTCTCTCTCTCTCGACGAAGAGAAGGCAAAATGTTCCCAATAGCACACCGTCATCATTAGCCCATTTGGTACAGAAAGGTAGGATGTTAAACCCTATTTCATTTCATTCATCAATCTAATTAAAATACAGATCTATATTTCGTTTCGTTTTCTATACTTTCGATGGCCTACACTACATGTAGATCTAACAAGTTATAGTGGGAGTTCACGTTCTTTGACGTCAGGTACCAAGCAAGCGACATTTGACCCGATTACGTCAGTCATTCGATTAACCAATTAGCTACCGCCATGTATCTACTTTTGCTTTGTTTCGATTTCTATAGCCGCTAATGTCTACCCACAGTTCCGCGCAAAAAAGGTCAAAAGCTCGATTCGACAGACCATTTGATTGGCTGACCCCTCATTTCAAGCGGAACACGAGTTAAATAACAACGCTTCCAGATCCATGTGTAGTAAAGAAAAGTAAAATCGAAATTTTGAACTATAAAAACGAAACGAAATTGGATCTGTGTTTTAATCAGATTGTTTCATTCATGTACAGTGTTTTATTATCCATGTTCCCTGTTCACAGCTGAAGAATATAAACTGGGTGGAAAACAAAGAGATGTGGAGAATTCATGAAAAGTATAATAGACCTGATATAACGTCAGATATTACCATAGTAACGGCCTACTTTGATATCGGTACCTTTCTAAAGGGTGATCGTGGAACATATTATACACCGAATAAATTCAAAAAGTGGATGGAAAGCATCAAAAGAATTGAAAATCCGCTAATAGCGTTCACAGATTCACAAGAAATTGTTGAAAAGGTGAAAGAACTCCGACAAGGTTTTTGTGAAAATGAAACACAGATCTATCTTGTGTCCAGGAATGATTTATGGGCCTTTAGAATAGGCCCAAAAATTAAAGACGTTATGTCGCAAGAAAATTATCCAAAATATTATCCAAATACAGTCAATGAGAATTACAGTTCATGTATGCATGTTAAATTTGAACTAATCGCCAAAGTTATTGAGGAGAATTTAGCTGATACCAAATTCATAAGTTGGATGGATATTGGATTATATCGTTTTGTGGCATGGGAGAAGAATAAATTTAAGTTAACTTTACCTCCTGATTTTGATTCAACAAAGATTGCCTATAATGAAATCAAAGCCCATTATTCTTCGTCTACTATTGAGGATATTATAACAGATAATTTAGTGTGGGTTGGAGGGGGACTGTTTGTTGGTAAAACGGATCTTATGTACGTCCATTGTATAGATTATATGAAGAGCGTCACAAAAATGTTAGAGTTAAAATGGATTAGTACAGATCAACAAGTTCTCTATAGTATGTATTTACCAAACTTTCCTCTCAGACCTCGTGTGGAGATTCAGGTTTATACGACCCACTCAATGGATGACTGGTATCACCTGGCAAACGTCCTCAAAGGTACCCACGGGATCAAAACAAGACAAGTCAAAACACTGTCTTTTTATTTTTTACAGTATTTATAGAAATATAGACATCCAAAGTCTTTGTGTGGCAACAGGTGGAACATAACCCATTAGCATTTAATACAACAGCAGCTAGTGCTCCTTACCAACTAAGAGGCCAAAACCGTCGAAGTCATATGAATTGCCATTCAAATAGGACTACTCACGTATTTGGACGAAAAATTTGATTAACGATTACAATAAAAGTTTAAAAAAAAGAATAGAGAGATGAATAGAGAACAAGGTAAAAACAAACGCGATTTTTTGTACAATCAGGGGCAATAATTCTCAGAAAGTTATGGCCTGAAATGTTCAAATATCAAAAGGGACTGAGATCTTTGGGATATAAAGATATCGGATAATAATTGTGACCTCTAGAGGGACCACGGGCTAAAAACGCGATTTTTCGTACAATCGTACAATACCAAATTCATAAGTTGGATGGATATTGGATTATATCGTTTTGTGGCATGGGAAAAGAATAAATTTAAGTTAACTCTACCTCGTGATTTTGATTCAAAAAAGATTGCCTATAATGAAATCAAAGCCCATTATTCTTCTTCTACTATTGAGGATATTATAACAGATAATTTAGTGTGGGTTGGAGGGGGGGCTGTTTGTTGGTAAAACGATCGTATGTACGTCCATTGTATAGATTATATGAAGAGCGTCACAAAAATGTTAGAGTTAAAATGGATTAGTACACTATATTTATTTACAGTTTATTTACATTTAACATACATTATGCAAGAGCTAAATCTGTCTATTGCAGGTCTTTCTTTTCTAGGCCTGAAATATTATCTAAATTATTAATTAGACATTAATTAACCTATCCAGACCATAATCAACCCTCGATGACATCGCTAGCCTGCGATTTACTGCATAACTGTCCTTCACGATTTAATGATTAAATGGATAATCGAGACTATGCTCTTTATCATACTGACTTTAGTAATGATGATCGGGGCTAGGCGGAAATTTCAATCGCTTATTTCTTTGTTCATAGTGGATCAATTTGAATGAAATTTCAGCAAATTGCCTTTACATTATCTAGTTTTTAACTATTATAGTGAGAACTGCCAACTCATTATCGAATCACCCATAATGTATCTTTAATATGTGTGCTTTTTGACTCATTTTATGGATTGGGTTTTTCTTAGTTTATTAAAGATACATTATGGGAGATAAGATAAAGAGATGGCAGTTCTCGCTATAATAGTTAAAAACTAGATAGTGTAAAGGTAATTTGCTCAAAATTTCAGTCAAATTGATCCACTATGAGCCGAGAAAGAAGCGGGTGAAATTTTTGCATAGTCTCGGTTATCATTACTAAAATTATTAATATAAACAGCATAGTCTCGATTATCCACTTTTATTTGATTTAATTATCAGTGGCCGTTAGCGCCATATAGGAATCTAATCCAGCCAACATCGAAGGCTAGCCTTGACATCGAGAGTTTATTATGGCCTGGATAAGTTAATTAATGTCTAATTGATAATTTAGATAACATATATTTCAGGCCTAAAGAAAGACTTGTAATAAGCAGCTGTTGCTCTTGCATAATTAATATAAGCTTAGCCAATATTATTAAATTAATTTTTGTGTGTTCTGTCTTATTTAAAACATATCTAGTTCCCATTTTCGTACATTTTGTTAGGGTTTTCATAGTAACAATTATCATAATATTAAATTTGTGTGCGTCATTTTTTTATATTAAAGACTTATTTACTCCCAAATTCTCATGTAATATTTTCATTGATATACCTGTGCATGTATTCATTTTTGAAAATTAAAACCTTTATTTATTGTAGGTTATGGACTATTTTTGTATTTCAATGAGGTTAAATTCATTAAAAATCAGCGGCTGCCAGGCAGGATACGCCCACATTTTACAAGAGGTGGATAGAGAACAAGCTAAAACAAACGCGATTTTTTGTACAATCAGGGGCAATAATCCAGATAGTTATGGCCTGAAATGTGCAAATATCAAAGGGGATTGAGATCTTTGGGATATAAAGATACGGTATGTTTTAAGTTTCATCATAATCGAATAAAAATTGTGACCTCTAGAGGGTCCACAGCCTTCGTATTACACACTTCTACACAATTTGCGTACAAAGAGCGGCCATTTTGTCGAGCAGTTTCATTTCGATTTTCCCGAAATTCGAATTCAACCTTCATTATGGTGGAATGCAAAGCCCGGGGCCCTGCGGTTTAGGGGGCCCGACGTTCATGGCAAAAAGAGAAAAATTTCAAAATTCCAGATGAAAATTTCACGGTCATCTATCTAGCGGCGCGAGGGCGGAGACTGAGATATCCCTCAAACTTCTCTGTGAAGTTCCACTGGGTGATCGATCTAGACTTGTATACCATTCAGAACTGAATAGATTTCGTATGTGATCAGATATTATGTAATTATTCTTGTATTACAGACCGTTTAATTGTGTGTTACACATGCGTGCCATTCCAAAGGATATGAAATTATCTTTTCGTCGCACCGCGATTCTATAGTCAGGCCCAGGGCCCCGCTCCGGTTAAGTTGGGCTTTGGTGGAATGGTGATGTATTTAAACGATTTTTAAAATTGGATAATAATTGTGACCTCTAGACGGACCACAAGCTAAAAACACGATTTTTCGTACAAACAGAGGCCATAATTCAGGAAGTTACGATCCGATATGCGCAAATATCGAAAGGCACCGAGATGTTTGGGTTATAAACTTACATTTCAAGTTTCAACAAAATCGGATAAAAATTGTGACCTCTATAGGGTCCACAACTTTGATATAGCAGATGTTTACACTATTTGCGTATACGAAGGGCGGCCATTTTGTCCGGCAGTTTTGGTCCAATTTTCATGAAATTTAAACTCAGACAAAATTACGGTGTAACGGTGATATATTCCAACGTTTTTCTTAAATCGGATAATAATTGTGACCTCTAGAGGGACCACAAGCTAAAAACGCGATTTTTCGAACAATCAGGGGCCATAATTCAGGATGTTACGATTCGATATCGACAGGAACCAAGATATTTGGGTTATAAACATGCATTTCAAGTTTCATCAAAATCATATGAAAATTGTGACCTCAACCATCATTAGGGTGTAACCGTGATATATTCAAACGGTTTTTTAAATCGGATAAAAATTGTGACCCGAGTGTAGTAGTATCAAATTAGATGGGTATGAAAACTAATCTTTAGCGCTGGGTTTAGTTTATTTTATTTATTTTTTTCTATGCACGCTGTTTACGATAGACTCTGAAGTAGAAGCCCCATGCATTCAGTGACTAGACTATCTGTGAGATCAAAAATTGTTACCCCTACTGCTAGATGATAAACTAAAAAAAACAGCTAGCAAAAAACAATTATTGTTTGAAACATTCCAAATATTATTATATAATACCATATATTGTTATTATTTTATATAAATAACCAATATCTATTTATTTAATTATCTATTTGTCTATCTATCTATCTATCTATCTATCTTATTTTATTTTATCTTATCTTATTTTCTTTCTTTCTTTATTTTATTGAATTGAACTGAATATTTCGTAGGATGAAACCTTAAAAGCCTTGTTGTAGTTTTACTATTTTATATCTATTTTCTGCTACTGGTATAACAAATCAGTTGCATTAGGAACAAATTTTACTTTCTTACAATTTCATGTTTCATAAATGCACATTTTCGTTCTTTCTTTTTGTTTTCAATTAAAAAAAATAATTAACTTTTAAATAAATCATATTGAAAGTATTATGTGTTTAGAATCGGTTTCCAAGGAGTAATGTCAACTGCCCAACCTCATGGGCTTTCTCTGTGGCATCCCCACTACGGTGGCGTATGTTAGTCCCAAAATGACATAGACTGTGTTAAGTGGAGTTAAAACCATCTCTCCACATCCTTCTTTCTATTTCTCCATAATATCGTCTTTTTCCCCTGCATATTTTAGGATGTGTGATGGGAGCAAATGTTTAAAAAGGAGGAATAGCAAACAAGGGGGTCTTATTTGTTATCTGAATGATTGTGAATTTAATAAGGAGTAACCAAACTGTTATTCTACCAAGCTTCATGTTAATTCATTGAAAAACAAATTTTTTTACATTGCACTGAAGTCAAATTACCCCTTTTTGACCAGATTTCGAACCTGAAAAACAAAATTAATAAAAATTGATTCTAAAAATTTAAACGGTTTTGAAATTCTATTTTTTCGGCAATTATTTCTGCCAGGTTTCAAAGCAATTGCTTAAAAAAAAAAAAAATTGGGTTGGTACATGCTAGTGCTATCAGTCTTTGCATCCAGGGCCCTAACAGGCATAGTTGCATGTACAAAGACTGGGAGATTGGTACGAATTTTACACTAGTTCAGCTCTGAACGTAGCCTGGGAGAAAAAAATGAAATCTTTGAAAAGTTGAGAATCTTCAGTGATTTATTGCTTTGCCTAGCTAAATTACAATAATTTACAATCAAATTCTTTCAAAAATCCCAATTTTTTCGCCCCATTAGGCTTACCTCAATTTCGTTTCATCTTATATGGCTTGTCAGTAAGGGTCTTTAGCAGTGGGGATGCCAAAGAGAAAGCCCATGAGGTTGGGCAGTTGACATTACTCCTTGGAAACTGAATCTAAACACATAATACTTTTAATATGATTTATTTAAAGTTAACATTTTTTTTTTAATTGAAAAAAAAAAAAAAAAAAAGAAAGAACGAAAATGTACATTTGTGAAACATGAAATTGTAAGAAAGTAAAATTTGTTCCTAATGCAACTGATTTGTTATACCAGTAGCTGAAAACTGAAAATAGATATAAAATAGTAAAACAACAACAAGGCTTTTAAAGTTTCATCCTACGAAACATGTTCACAGATGAAGAACTTATCGCCCCAACAGAACCACTGAGCTGCACATGCGACACGCAATAGTGCCATACATGGGGGAGGGGTTTATTGTCAAATTTAACACTTCAAGGAAGGGGTGATAAAAACTGCTGTGTGCTGGTTTATCTATCCATGTTTGCTTTCCTATATATCGGTTTATGCATAAGATTTACTGTTTAGCGTATCTTTGCTTTAGTGTGTTACGTTTAATTTGATCGGGAGACCTGTTCGTCGACGTCTATGTCAACCGACAACACTGTAAGAATTGGCCGTAGCATTGAAAGAGGAGTGGGTCAGATTGCCCCAAATCGTGATTGGACTGTTGATTAGGAGCATGCCACGAAGAATTGCTGAATGGTTGAGGATTGGTGGAGCAATTACTCATTATTAAGACAAAAAGCAAAAACGTCCATTTTCACTTTTGACGGTGTATCTCTTTGCGAGTTAAATAGGGCCGTCAGATAAGCCGCCCATATGAACTGTTTATGTTCATGTGTAGGCAATTGGCCTGTTATTAACATACACTGGTTACCTCTAATAAAAACAGCAGTGCATTTCCGCAGTTTTGTATTGTTTCTGAATATCCCCTACTTTTTTGAAGAGTATATAATAATATTTGGAATGTTTCAAACAATAATTGTTTTTTGCTAGCTGTTTTTTTTTGTTTATCAACTAGCAGTAGGGGTAACAATTTTTGATCTCACAGATAGTCTAGTCACTGAATGCATGAGGCTTCTACTTCAGAGTCTATCGTAAACAGCGTGCATAGAAAAAAATAAATAAAATGAAATAAACTACACAAACCAGCGCTAAAGATTAGTTTTCATACCCATCTAATTTGATACTACTACACTCGGGTCACAATTTTTATCCGATTTAAAAAAAATGTTTGAATATATCACGGTTACACCCTAAGGATGGTTGAGGTCACAATTTTCATCTGATTTTGATAAAACTTGAAATGCATGTTTATAACCCAAATATCTTGGTTCCTGTCGATTTTTGTATATATTGAATCTTAACTTCCTGAATAATGGCCCCTGATTGTACGAAAAATCGCGTTTTTAGCCCGTGGTCCCTCTAGAGGTCACAATTATTATCCGATATCTTTATATTCCAAAGATCTCAGTCCCTTTTGATATTTGAACATTTCAGGCTATAACATTTGAGAATTATTGCCCCTGATTGTACAAAAAATCGCGTTTGTTTTTACCTTGTTCTCTATTCATCTCTCTATTCTTTTTTTTAAACTTTTATTGTAATCGTTAATCAAATTTTTCGTCCAAATACGTGAGTAGTCCTATTTGAATGGCAATTCATATGACTTCGACGGTTTTGGCCTCTTAGTTGGTAAGGAGCACTAGCTGCTGTTGTATTAAATGCTAATGGGTTAAGTTCCACCTGTTGCCACACAAAGACTTTGGATGTCTATATTTCTATAAATACTGTAAAAAATAAAAAGACACTGTTTTGACTTGTCTTGTTTTGATCTCGTGGGTATCTTTGAGGACGTTTGCCAGGTGATACCAGTCATCCATTGAGTGGGTCGTATAAACCTGAATCTCCACACGAGGTCTGAGAGGAAAGTTTGGTAAATACATACTATAGAGAACTTGTTGATCTGTACTAATCCATTTTAACTCTAACATTTTTGTGACGCTCTTCATATAATCTATACAATGGACGTACATAAGATCCGTTTTACCAACAAACAGTCCCCCTCCAACCCACACTAAATTATCTGTTATAATATCCTCAATAGTAGACGAAGAATAATGGGCTTTGATTTCATTATAGGCAATCTTTGTTGAATCAAAATCAGGAGGTAAAGTTAACTTAAATTTATTCTTTTCCCATGCCACAAAACGATATAATCCAATATCCATCCAACTTACGAATTTGGTATCAGCTAAATTCTCCTCAATAACTTTGGCGATTAGTTCAAATTTAACATGCATACATGAACTGTAATTCTCATTGACTGTATTTGGATAATGTTTTGGATAATTTTCTTGCGACATAACGTCTTTAATTTCAGGGGCTATTTTAAATGCCCACAAATCATTCCTGGACACTAGATAGATCTGTGTTTCATTTTCACAAAAACCTTGTCGGAGTTCTTTTACCTTTTCAACAATTTCTTGTGAATCTGTGAACACTATTAGCGGATTTTCAATTCGTTTGATGCTTTCCATCCACTTTTTGAATTTATTCGGTGTATATGTTCCACGACCATCCTTTTGAAAGGTACCGATATCAAAGTAGGCCGTTACTATGGTAATATCTGACGTTATACCAGGACTATTATATTTTTCATGAATTCTCCACATCTCTTTGTTTTCCATCCAGTTTATATTCTTCAGCTGTGAAAATACAAGAGAGAGAGAGAAATGGGGTTTAAGGTCCACTCGACAATGAAAATACAAAGTGAATAATACAACAAAACTATCAATAAAAGAGAGAGAGAGAGAGAGAGAGAGAGAGAGAGAGAGAGAGAGAGAGAGAAATGGGGTTTAACATCCGCTCGACACAAACTAGGTCATTTCGAAACTAATATATGGTTCAATTTTATTTCAATAATTCGCCTGCACATAACGGTCTTTAGCAGTGGGAAGAAACCGAAGGACCCGGAGAAAACCCACAAGGTTAGACAGGTAACTTGATCCTCATTATGGTGTAACAGTGATATATTCAAACGTTTTTTTAAATCGCATAAAAATTGTGACCTCTAGAGGAACCACAAGCTAAAAATGTGATGTTTCGTACAATTCAGGCAGTTACGATCCGATATGTGCAAATATTGAAAGGTACCAAGATCGTTAGATTATAGACAAGTTTCATCAAAATTGGATCAAAATTGTGACCTGTTGAGGGTACACAACCTTGATATACCATATTTTTTACACTATTTCCGTACTAGAGACGGCCATTTTGTCCAACAGTTTTGGTCCGATTTTCACAAACTCTAACTCATCCAACATTATGGTGTAACGGTGATATATTCGAACCTTTTTATTAATCGGATAATAATTGTGACCTCTAGAGGGACCACAAGTTATGCAGGAATATCGAAAGGAACCAATATCTTTTGGTTATAAACATGCATTTCAAGTTTCATCAAAATCAGATGACAATTGTGACCTCTAGAGCAGTGGTTCTCAACCTTTTTTTGCCCACGGCACACCTTGAAACACATGAACAAAATGGCGATACACCTGGCTAAATATATATGAAAAATATTTGAATTTTGTAAAATAAAACATGACAAGTCATAGACGGCAGACACAGACTAGTAATAGACACATAGCATGATTCAAACTAAAAAAAAAGAAGAAAAACATAGCTATGAACATTGGGATCACGTGGTTTTTCGCATTTACATAGTGTACCGTTGAAAATTATTTCGCGGCACACTTAGGTAGATCTCGCGACACACAGGTGTGCCATGGCACACTGGTTGAGAATCGCTACTCTAGAGTGTCCACAAGCTAAAACATGATTTTCCGTACAACCAGGGACTATAATCCATGAAGTTAGGGTCTGATACATGCCGATATCGAAAGGAACCAAGATCTTTGGGAGATAGACCTATATTTCAAGTTTGGTCAAAATCGGATTAAAATTCTGAACTGTAGAGTGTCAACAAACAAGTTGTGATCGGACAGGAGCGACGCCATAATACATTCAAATGAAAATGTGGGCGTATAAATATCAGTGAAGAAATGTCAATGCGTGGACTAACTACGAGTACAGTAATACATTGATAACAGTTATAACTCTAGAACTACTTTTGATAAAAAGCTAAAAATCGATAGGGACTACATTTACTCCAATACAAACTATTCCAAACAATTAAGATATGAAATGAAATGAAATGGGGTTTAACGTCCTACTGTTCTGCTCCGACTGGGCTAATGCAGACGGGCATACGCCATACAGTGTACTATGAGGGAAATTTTACATGGGCAGCGACACTATGACTTACTCTTATATCGAATTCCTACCGCCAGGGTATCTTTTATGTGCACGCCAATGCATACATGGCTCGTCAATTTTTCATCCCATCCAAACGACTAGACAGTTGTCCTTGTCAGGCCCTGTGTTCTGCACCACTGACAAGGGAAAAACACGTCGGAAAATCCTGATGAACTTTCTCGGCCAATGCAGGAATCAAACACGCGACCTCCAGGCTAGCGAGGCAGCGTCTTACCCACTTAGCCACCGTGGCTCCCAAACAATTAAGAATTTATCTCTGTGGAGTACGTACAATCAAGTGTGGACAGACACAGGCAACAACAATATATGACTACATACACCTCTATGCATTGACCCCAATAACACATGTACTGTCAAAGACCAGTAAACAGTACAGAAATACAAAAAGGGTTAAAATGTGGATGTATGAAAATACTTACATTTGATTTCCTCTCATTCCAATCCTCTGGGGTCAACCTCATTATTCCATCTAAAATCATATAAAAAGATAGTTGCCAGGCAATTAACCATATGCTCACAGCAGCCAAGTCATCCAACCAGTCAATAAAGCTTATCACAAAATTTTTCAGATTGATCAGGGGCAATAACAATAGTAAAACATTTTGGACGATTGAATGAATTAAAAAATTTAAAGGACAGGGAACAAAACAAGTAGTGTGCGCAGTCCACTAATACGTTATCTGAGGATGCAACGATACATACAAAATTAACGTGATTAATCAGCGATTTTCTGTTCAACTTCCATTCATAATTTAATCATGAAATGGATAATCGAGACTATGTTTTTTTATCCTACCGACTTTAGTAATGATGATCGAGGCTAGGCAGAAAACTCAATAGCTAAAATCTTGGTTCAAGATTAACGTGATTAATCAGCGATTTGCTGTTCAACTTCCATTCATAATGTAATCATGAAATGGATACTCGAGAATATGTTTTTTTTATCCTACCGACTTTAGTAATGATGGTCGAGGCTAGGCCGAAAATTCAATAGCTAAAATCTTGGTTCATAGTGGATCAATTTGACTGAAATGTTTAGCAAATTCCTTTTATATTATCTAGTTTTTAACTATTATAGTGAGAACTGCCAGCTCTTTATCTAATTTTCCATAATGTGTCTTTAATTATAGATATATTTGGATATATTTTTCAGGTTGTGGCACACAACTATATATTTCTATTAACATTCAATAACATTTCAATAACATCTTTGAGTAGTTTTAGAACTCCTCACACCAGAAGTGGTACCATGTGTTCTAGAAAGAGTGAGCGTTTTTACCGTACCAGGTCTACCAAAAAGGGCTCTGTGGGTAATTTTGACTTTGGTCTTTAAAAAGGTCTGGCTAGGAATCCTACCTTGATTGGCGTTTAATACAAATATACCCAAGAATACAACAACTCGAATATATTATGTGCCGCAGTATGCTTTTTTTCTGCATTCAATCCCTGCCCCCCCCTCCCCATCCACTATTGAACATCCCGGGCTCGGAAAAAGATTAATCCGGACCTGAGTTTCAAGCTATATTTATTCATAAGTGGTAACAGGTGTTCTAGAAAGAGTTAGCACTCTGTAGAATATATTTAACAGATACTTACATATTATATAGTAGACCACTGTTAGACAACTAATATACAACACATAGTCTACGGGTTGTCGAGGTAATTTAGACATCTTTTAAAATCTAAAATATACAAAATACAATACAGTTCTCAAAATATAACCTATAATTGACCATTTTAAAATAGAAATGAAATGGGGTTTAACGTCCTGCTGTTCTGCTCCGAACTGGGCTAATGAAGACGGGCATACGCCATACGTGTGCTATCAGGAAAATTTTGATTATGGATTTACTATAGGTAATTATGTAACAATCACAAGTTGGTATTGTACGTTTAAGCATACAATATTTAAGTAAATACATACGGCCTACCATTCATTATCTGTATATTTTATCATCACTTCTTGTGGGCTGAAATCTTAACTTAGGTAAAAACGGTTGTGTTGTGAAGTGGAAAGGCAGTGGGAGTACTGGAAGCATGGAGAGCGACAGTAGGGGCGGGGCGGCGCCTTACATCAGGAAGCTGGAAGTTTTGATACGGTAATATGGCAACTTAGAATGTTCCAACCCGTGTGCAGTATTATTCCATATATATGGGTAGATTTAATAAGCTACGAGAACGTAACTAAAAACGTTGAGATATACTTAGGCCTACTGATGTGCTTCGAAACATGGAGAGTTGAGAGATGATGTTTGTTACTTACTTATGGTAGATTTCCAGATCAGGTTCTATACGATCCTCTACTCTGGACTCTAAGTAATTGTATGTTGTTCCGGTGGATTTAACCTTATAGTTATAGTAAGATTCGTGTTTGTTATCTACTCTAGGGTAGGCCTAGATTAATATTATTATTAAGAGCATGTTTAGTCACCCGTGCAAGAGAGTAGCTGTTAACTTTGTTATTGAGGTGGGTTGGGCCATCATACAAGTTGAAATACCGTTTAACTGAGCTGTCTTTATATACACATATAGGTTGAGTGACTTAATAAAGGGACAATAATTTTAACACTCTTGCTGGCTTGAAAGCTCCAGAAAATAAATGATATCTCTATCTAAGTACTAGATATTTAAGTGTCCTACGCTGTTGTGTAAATTATCCATTACATCCTATTTTACTTGTCCAGAGGGTTCGAAAATATTTTTAAATCGAAGTTTCATTTGAAAAGGTTAACGTTAAGACGTTTCAAACCATTATGTTGAATTTTTCAAAATTTTTAAATGTGTTAAGATGAAATTTGTATCATCAATTAATTGGAATATTCTAAAATAGTACAATTTGTTGACCAGAATAAAGGTTGGGACATATTATTCAGTTACAACAAGAGTGGTATTGAGCCTTTAATTAGACTGCAGGTGAGTTTTTGACCTATCATATATTTACCACCACGCTCTATCCACAGCAGGAATTAGTTTGGCTCGGAACTACGTGGCCTAACGGTGGTTTGGATGGCCGAATGGTTAGCACGTGCGCGCTGTATCATAAAGCCTGCCATTGAGTCAACTGCAGGCGTGGTTTCGAATCCCCGGTTGTACGTGGCAAGGACTCAAGAGTACTAGTAGTAGTAGTAGGCTCGCTGACCAACCTCGCGGGTTTTCTCCGGGCCCTCCGGTTTCCTCCCACTGCTAAAGTCACAAAGACCGCTACGCGCAAGCGAATTATTGAAATAAAATTAAACCATATGTTAGTCCCGAAATGACCTGGTTTGTCTCGAGTGGACGTTAAACCCCATTTCTCTCTCTCTCTCTCTCTCTCTCTCACTCTCCGTAGCCTAACGGAGTTTGCCGAGTGCTCCCGGTGAGAGTAGCACTGTGGTGAACGTAAACAACAGCCTCTATTGGCGTGAAGGGTAATGATGGCGAACGAAAGGAAGTTGTATGATGTGAGTTGATAACGGTAATAAATACGTTATGTTATAGTCTTCATGAAAAGAATGTATACTAATGCGAAATTACAGTAGAATTGCATCCAACATCTTGCCATCTGTATCCGTTAATGAGCGGTACATTACTGTAATGTCATTGTGAGGTTGTAGGCGATCGATCGTTACTGACCTAGGATTGTACATGTTATTAAAGTAGCTAAGTCAAGTCTAACTCAATATCATACAAAGTCTTACACGTTGAAAATACAAAATATTTGTCAATTCAAATCAACATTGATGTTGTGATCTTACCAGGAAAAGGCAGGCTTCTGATATCCAATATTTAAGACAAAATAGACATTTTACCAATGGTACACGAATCGTGTACCATAGTGCGTTTTAGCGTCATTTGCAACTAGTGACCAGAAAGAACGAGGCTAGACATATTTAACTGGAGAGCCTGCTTAATAGACTGGAATAACCAGACGCTAGAAATTGCTATAGGGTTGAGACACATGCCGTATTTCGCTGAACATAACTGATTTGAAATTAGAGTCAAAACGGAAACAATTGAATGTAAATCAGTTTATATACAATCAGATTACATTATTATATGCGTTGCGGCCCATTTGGGTCAATTTCTAGGTCCCAAATATTAGCGATTTAGCTCCTTTAAACTTGCCAATGGAATACGCTGGTATAACAGTACCGTAAGCACAATGCATTGCATGAACATAACGGAAAATATTTCCCCTACGGCTACGGCGATTCCCCCCCCCCCCCAGTAAAATTTGAAAAATAGACTGCTGAAAATGCAGCTTGGCAGTATTTGAATTTCAGGCACGAATTGCCGAGACAAATACTATAGAGGTGACCAGATACCGCCTGTCGCCTAACCACTATCCGACCAGATAGGGAGGTATCATTCAACGATCAGCCTTTTACTCACCAGCGTCCTGGGCATGAATCTTAAAGGAGCTAAATCGCTAATATTTTGGACCTAGAAATTGGCACAAATGGGTTCCCCCCTCGTAGGACGGAGGGCCAGGCAAGGAACAGCTGCTCTTCTAGTTGTTTGGTTTAATTGTATATCTTAACATGCAATTATATATCTTAAAATGTTTTAATCAATTGTATATCTTGATATGTTTTATTAATCAATTGTATATCTTGACCCGGAGTGGTTTCCTCTTGCCAGTGATGTAGGACGGAGGGCCTGACAAGGACACCTATCTAGTCATTTGGTGGGATGAAAAACTGAGGTCCCATGTACACATTAGTGTGCACATAAAAGATCCCTCAAGTGACAGTTGGATTTCGATATAAGAGTAAGCCGTAGTGCCGCTGTCCAGGCAAAATTTCCCAAATAGCACACTGTATGGCGTATGCCCGTCTTCATTAGCCCAATTCGGAGCAGAATAGTAGGACGTTAAACTCCATTTCATTTCTATTTTAAAATGGTCAATTATAGGCTATATTTTGAGAATTGTATTGTATTTTGTATATTTTAGATTTTAAAAGATGTCTAAATTATATCGACAACCCGTAGACTATGTGTTGTATATTAGTTGTCTAACAGTGGTCTACTATATAATATGTAAGTATCTGTTAAATGATTGTACAAAGTGGTAACTCTTTCAAGAACACCTGTTACCACTTCTGAATGAATATAGCTTGAAAGTCCGGTCTGGGTTAATTCTTAGGTATATTTAAATAAAATAGAAATATTGAACATTTTTTTTTGTATTAAACTTTAATCAAGGTAGTATTCCTAGCCAGTCCTTTTTAAAGACAAGCAGAAAATATAGATGTCTGCTAAAAGAGTTCAAGCCAGTTCAGAGCAGAACAGTAGGACATTAAACCTCATTTCATTTCATTTCATTTCACTAGTTACTTAGAACTTTCTGTCCATCTAACCCCCAGCAAGGAACAGAGTCTTAAATTGTTCAGATAGGGTGAAAACCAATGTCCTGTAAAAAAAAACAACATTAACAGTAGACATGCTGAATGGCAAATATGCCTGTCTTGATTAGGCTGGTTGATGCATGCAGCATGTAGGATGTTTGATAGCATTTACGGTATACACAGATCAATAGAGTTAAAGGGAGACTACTACATTTGACTGTACTACTGCATAGTTGGATTTTACCTAAAGATTCACATGTGACAACGTTAAGGATGCAGCGATAGCTCGGGAATTCCGATTAATTGTGATTATTGGGTCAGGTGATTAAATAATCACCTACTTTCTCAATAATCGCTGTATCGTGATATATCATGATTATTTTTAAATTAATTGCAGTTATGATTTGGGAGAATCAAATTTATAACGTATGGAAAGTATATGTATTATTTTGGCTGAAATCTTGTCAAAATGACAGTAGGATAATAAAACATCTCACATATACAGTTTCTAGTTATCCCACTGCATGCGGTGTTGAGAAGAGTATTGTTGTCATAGAAACCAACTCCACAAGCCCGATTGTTGACCATTGATTATCCAGTTGGCACCGTTGTTTGTACAATTAATATTTCTTTTACGTTTTTATCAGTTTAATAATCGCGATAATGAATCGTTCAAGCATGATTACTTGAATTATCATGATAAATTATCTCATTACGATAATCCAAGATATCACGATTATTCATTTTGCAATAATCCTGATTAATCACGATTATTTTTGTGTGTATCGTTGTATCCTTAAATAAAGTATTAGTGGACTGCGTACACTACTTGTTTTGTTCCCTGTCTTTTAGATTTTTTAATTCAGTCAGTCGTCCAAAATGTCCTACTATTGTTATTGCCCCTGATCGATCTGAAAAATTTTGTGATAAGCTTTATTGACTGGTTGGATGACTTGGCAGCTGTGAGGATATGGTTAATTGCCTGGCAACTATCTTTTTATATGATTTTAGATGGAATAATGAGGTTGACCCCAGAGGATTGGAATGAGAGGAAATCAAATGTAAGTATTTTCATACATCCACATTTTAACCCTTTTTGTATTTCTGTATTGTTTACTGATCTTTGACAGTACATGTGTTAGTGTTATTGGGGTCAATGTAGTCATATATGGTTGTTGCCTGTGTCTGTCCACACTTGATTGTACTTACTCCACAGAGAGAGAAAGAGAGAAATGGGGTTTAACTTCCACTCGACACAAACTAGGTCATTTTGGGACTAAGATATGGTTTAATTTTATTTCAATAATTCGTTTGCGTGTAGGGGTCTTTAGCAGTGGGAGGAAACGGGAGGAACCAGAGAAAACCCACGAGGTTGGACAGGCGACCCTACTCCTTGTGATGTACAACTGGGGATTCGAAACCCTGCCAATGACAGGCCTTATGTTCCTGTAGATATTCATGCATATCAGAGAGTATCTTCCTGGATTATGGCCACTGATTGTATGAAAAATCACTTCTTTTTTGAGCTTGTTCTTAGCCCATCTCTTACAAAATGTGGGCATATCTTGCATGGCAACCACTTGTTCTCCATCCTATAGAAAAATCTTGTGGCATTCTAGAGGCTAAATTCATCATTCCGTTGTGTCTTTGTTCATGAGACGAAAAAGCCTGGTTTCCCCCATATTAGTGTTGCATGATGGAGGGCCTGACAACAGACAACATCTTGCCTTTCAGGTGGTACACATTTGCATGCATATCAAAGATACCTTGACATTTGGAATTCTGTTGGTGTGCATGCAAAACAACCCTCGACAGTTGGAATCCTGTACAAAATTTCCCTCATATATCATGTAGCATCCCTTCTTCATTAACCCAATTGGTTCAGAAAGGTAGAATGTTAATCATTGTTTCATTTCAATTTCAATCCTTTTATTATACGCCCACATTGAAATGTGGTCATATATTGTTGTCGCCCCTGTACGTCCGTCCGGCGGTCCGGCATCCACAATTGCTTGTGGACGCTCTATAGGCTAAAGTTAATATCCGATTGACTTTGAAATTATACAAAATGTTTAGGGTCATGAGACAAAGAAGCCTATTGATTTTCACCAATTTCCGATAATTACTGCCAGAGTTATGGCCCTTGATCACTTTGAAAAATCTTGTGGCGCTCTAGAGGCTAAAGTTAATATCCGATTGACTTTAAATTTATACACAGTCTTTAAGGTCATGAAACAAAGAAGCCTATTGATTTTCAGCGATTTCCGATAATTACTGCCAGAGTTATGGCCCTTGATCACTTTAAAAATTCTTGTGGACACTCTAGAGGCTAAAGTTAATATCCGATTGACTTTAAATTTATATACAGTGTTGAAGACCAAGAGACAAAGAAGCCTAGTGATTTCCAGAGTTATGGCCCTTTATCACTTTTAAAAATCTTGTGGACACTCTAGAGGCTAAAGTTAATATCCGATTGAGTTTTAATTTATACACAGTGTTTAAGGTCTTGAGACGAACAAGTATATTGATTTTCAAAGAATCTTTATGACTTGAACAGCTAAATCCATGATGTTAAAAGTTTTGTATACTAAACGTTAGCATGGGGCAGAACTTTATAAAAACCAATTCTAATGGTTTTCTGATAATTACTTAATGAGTTGTTACTCTTAATCAGATTTTAATGTATTATAAATGTTTCATTACCGAAAAAAGTAAAAATAGGTGACAACTCTTGTTGACTGCCCGGACGATATAGCTGCTGTCGGCGTATGTTTCATTGCCTGGCAACCTATCTTTGATAGGGGGGTTGGATGGCCTAATAGTTAGCATGTGCGCGCTGTATCATAAGGTCTGTCATTGAGTCAATTGGCGTGGTTTCGATTCCCCGGTTGTACGTGACAAGGAGTAGGGTTACCTGTCTAGCCTCCGGTTTCTTCCCACTGCTAAAGATCGTTACATGCAGGCGAATTATTTAAATAAAATTGAACCATATGTTAGTACCGAAATGACCTAGTTTGTGTCGAGCGGATGTTAAACCCCATTTCTCTTTCTCTCTTTTATTGATAGTTTTGTTGTATTATTCACTTTGTATTTTCACAGCTGAAGATTATAAACTGGATGGAAAACAAAGAGATGTGGAGAATTCATGAAAAATATAATAATCCTGCTATATCGTCAGATATTACCATAGTAACGGCCTACTTTGATATCGGTACCTTTCAAAAAGGCATGCTTCGAACATTTACGTCAACTAAATACAAAAGGTGGATGGAAAGCATCAAAAGAATTGAAAATCCGCTAATAGCGTTCACAGATTCACAAGAAATTGTTGAAAAAGTGAAAGAACTCCGACAAGGTGTTTGTGAAAATGAAACACAGATCTATCTGGTGTCCAGGAATGATTTATGGGCCTTTAGAATAGCCCCGGAAATTAAAGACGTTATGTCGCAAGAAAATTATCCAAAACATTATCCAAATACAGTCAATGAGAATTACAGTTCATGTATGCATGTTAAATTTGAACTAATCGCCAAAGTTATTGTGGAGAATTTAACTGATACCAAATTCATAAGTTGGATGGATATTGGATTATATCGTTTTGTGGCATGGGAAAAGAATAAATTTAAGTTAACTTTACCTCCTGATTTTGATTCAACAAAGATTGCCTATAATGAAATCAAAGCCCATTATTCTTCGTCTACTATTGAGGATATTATAACGGATAATTTAGTGTGGGTTGGAGGGGGGCTGTTTGTTGGTAAAACGGATCTTATGTACGTCCATTGTATAGATTATATGAAGAGCGTCACAAAAATGTTAGAGTTAAAATGGATTAGTACAGATCAACAAGTTCTCTATAGTATGTATTTACCAAACTTTCCTCTCAGACCTCGTGTGGAGATTCAGGTTTATACGACCCACTCAATGGATGACTGGTATCACCTGGCAAACGTCCTCAAAGATACCCACGAGATCAAAACACGACAAGTCAAAACACTATCTTTTTATTTTTTACAGTATTTATAGAAATATAGTCATTCAAAGTCTTCGTGTGGCAACAGGTGGAACTTAACCCATTAGCATTTAATACAACTTTCAGGCACATGAATATATGCATATTCCTGAGGCAATGGCTCGAGAAATCCCTCTCTGGCCATTGCTGGATTGGCTTCTGATACCTGAGCTTTTGAGAGAGTGTGTCTATGCTTTGCGTTCAATCAAATCTATCCCAAGTACAGCAACATGACAGCCCTTTGTTTAATCTGGGGTCTTCCCTTAAACTTTGGACAGTGATTTTAGGCATTAAAAACGGTGAAAGTCTTGTTCATCTCCATACACTATTGTTTTGCATTGTTTACGTGTTGATAGCCTCGTTTGTCACGCAATTAGTTTTTCTGCAATATTCTGCTGTGCACTGGATAATTTGGCATAATAAAATCGTGAGTCATGACGTAACGTAATGTAAACATATTTGGTCCAATTTGGAGCTTTGTTTAAAATGTAGCGATATTGTTACGCAGTTAGCTATTGGTTGTTAATCGGTTGTTGATTTGGAACAGAAATTTGCTTCCAAAAAAGCAGTGTTTAGTGGGATTAGCTCTAATCAAACGAAACACTGCGAGGAGTATGGAGTTTCCCCAAGAACTAGTATACAGTTCTACAATAACTCGAACCGTCTAAGGTGCAGTAGTTTTGGGCTGTCCAGGAATATACCAATATGATCTATCGTTTTTATACGCCCACATTTTCATGTGGACGTATATTGTAGTTGCCCCTGTCCGTCCATTGTCTGTTCACATTTGTTTGTGGACACTCTACAGGTCACAATTTTTATCCGATTGTGATGGAACTTAAAACATAGGTTTATCTCCCACAGATCTCGGTTTCTTTCGATATTGGCATGTATTGGACTATAACTTCATGGATTATGGTCCCTGATTGTACGAAAAATCTCATTTTTAGCTTGTGGACCCTATAGAGGTCACATTTTTTATCCGATTTTTTTGAAACTTGAAATGGAAGTTTATAACCTAAATTTCTTGTTTCCTTTTGATATTCGCGCATATCGAACCGTAACTTCCTGAATTATGGCCCCTGATTGTACGAAAAATCACGTTTTTAGCTTGTGGACCCTATAGCGGTCATAATTTTTATCCGATTTTTTTGAAACTTGAAATGGAAGTTTATAACCCAAAGATCTTGTTTCCTTTTGATATTCGCGCATATCGAACCTAACTTCCTGAATTATGGCCCCTGATTGTACGAAAAATCACGTTTTTAGCTTGTGGACCCTATAGCGGTCATAATTTTTATCCGATGTGAATATATCACATTTATACACTAATGATGGTTTAGTTCGAATTTCGTGAAAATCGGACAAAAACTGATGGACATAATGGCTGCCCCTTGTAAGCAAATAGTATAAAAATATGGTATATCAAGGTTGTGGACCCTCTAGAGACCCCAGTTTTTATCCGATTTGGATGAAACTTTAAATATATGTTTTTATCATAAAGATCTCCGTGCCTTTTGATAATCACACATAGCTGAACGTAACTTCCTGGATTATGGCCCCTGATTGGTCGAAAAATTGCATTTTTAGCTTGTGGATTCTCTACATGTCACAATTTTTTTCCATTTTAAAAACCGTTTAGTATAGAGAATCTCCTACAAGTCTTTTTTGATATCAAAAAAGACTCGTAGGAGATTTTATTTATCACCCAATCCTTTCTTACGTGCACAAATAAATAAATATAATTCTTTGCTATAGATTTCACTTTTACTGAACTTGATTACATTACGGTGTAGTGATACATCAGTTTTTTGACAGCAATTCAACCATTGCAAAGTCCTTTTGGCCCAGTGTTTCCATGAAGGTCAATCAAATAAAAATAGTCCATTTTTAATAAAAAAAAAAAGAAGTTACTTTTAATAAAAAATGGTGTATAAGTATGTAATACAAAGGTTATGGACCCTCTAGAGGTCACAATTTTTATCCGATTTTGATGAAACTTGAAACATATATTTATATTCCGAAAATCTGAGTCCCTCTTGATATTTGCGCATTTCAGACCATAACTTCCTGGATTATTCAAATAATCGTTTTGTATTTAGCTTGTTCTCTATCCATCTCTTGCAAAATGTGGGCATATCCTGCCTGGCAGCCGCTGTTTTTTTTTACTTTATCGACTTGTGTTGATATTTTTTGATATCAAAGATGACTCGTAGATGATTCTCTATATTTAAAATACAGATGTGACGTCATCCTTTGATGTTGGGGTACCATTATGTCCAATAATGTACGGGCAACTTGCCAGTCGTACATTATCAATACTAGATGAAATATTGGACTTGCGTGACGTATTTCATTGAAAAGCACGTGCAGGATAGTGTCTGTATTTTAAGTTGTTTAATGGTCTCGAGCTAAAGACATTGCGTAATATATTGAAACAACACTCGGTTTACGCCACATGCAGTATTAATATATTACTTAATGTCTCACTCTTGACCATTAAACCATACATACATGTAGTTACTCAAGTGTATTATTACCAATTGATATTTAATCAGCAGCTTTAAGAATCTGATGGTTATGTTATATTAGTTACTCATTGATATTTTATACAGGGGGGTTGGATGGCTGAATGGTTAGCCTGCGCGCGCTGTATCATAAAGTCTGTCATTGAGTCGACTGGCGTGGTTTCGAATCCCCGGTTGTACGTGGCAAGGAGTAGGGTCGCCTGTCCAACCTCATGGGTTTTCTCTGGGTCCTCCGGTTTCCTCCCACTGCTAAAGACCCCTACGCACAAGCGAATTATGTAAATAAAATTAAATCCATATGTTAGTCCCTGATATTTTATACAATTTATTTTAACACATTTATAGATCAAGGTTTATTTTTTTTTATTTTTCTTTTAAAAAACAACACTTTAAAGATACATTCCCGGGTACAAACTGGGTGATTTGGTGATATATTTTGACTAAAAATATTCAAACTAATTAATTTATCATAATTTTGCTTCAAATCCATCTCAAAACATTGCAGTTGTTGGGGAATACCCTGGCTATTAAAAAAATCGATTAAAAGAGGTCATGTTTGTGTCATGTGACTTACCTCTCTCAGCACCTAGCAACACAAGCGAAGTCGGAGGAGAATTCATTGCATACACAAGACGATGTCTTTAATCGCTGACTATTTATTACAAATATCGAAGCCTAATTAAATTTTCCGATTATCCATGGCCCGCGTCTTTTTCCGTGATTTTTATCTCAGAAAGTGTTGTACGTCTAATTCTTCATAATGTTTATCAAAATGTACATCAAGCGCTCAATCTCCGCATGCAACTTTCGACGTCACACGTGCAGACACTCCTAATAGTCGTGCTGTTGATTAGGGAAACCCTTACATTTTTGTCCTGTTTGTGCTCCATGAGTGTTTTTCAGGGAATCAAGTATTTTTCTAGTAAGATTGGATATTTCTACTTTCGATATATACCAAAGTTGCCATACTTTTATTCGAAATAACCACCCGATAAATACTTTTCTGGGAACGTAGCTTTAAAATCAATACTACAAAAGTACTGAGGTTTTACGAAATTCAGTATCAGTTTTACAAACATTGTCAGTATCTGTTTTCACAAAAATTTTCTACCTCACTCAAATTTTCACTAAACTACTCAAATTTTCATAAAACTAGTCACTCTTAGTTTTATGAAAACTACATGGAATCCTACCCATATTACATGGTCTTATATGTTTGTTTGTTTTCTAGAGAGTAGAGTGTAGAATATACATGTATGTACAATTTAATGGCATTAACTATGGGATATACATGTACATATAGTCTTATATTTATTGGTTTTGAAGATATTGTACAATTTAAAGGTATTAAGAATAGGATACTTAGCAACCTAGTTTTAGTTTAATAAACCAAGTGTTAATTTAAACATGCATTATGCAAGAGCAAAATCTGCTTATTACAAGTCTTTCTTTAGGCCTGAAATGTTATCTAAACTATCAATTAGACATTAATTAACTTATCCAGACCATAATAAACTCTCGATGTCAAGGCTAGCCTACGATATCGACTGGATTAGAATCCTATACGCTGCAAATGCTCATTGATAATTAAATCAAAACAATGGATAATCGAGACTATGCTGTTTATATTAATGATTTTAGTAATGATGACCGAGACTATGCGAAAATTTCACCCGCTTCGTTCTCGGCTCATAGTGGATCAATTTGACTAAAATTTTCAGAAAATTACCTTTACACTATCTAGTTTTTAACTATTATAGCGAGAACTGTCATCTCTTTATCTTATCTCCCATAATGTATCTTTAAGCATGGGTCATCCTCAAGAGGCTGATCATTTCATGACATCATTAATCTTTCTCTCATCTTTATATTAAATTATATCATGTAACTTTATATTATCATCTCTTTTGTCATGTTTGATATGCGACTTGGAATTTCTAGAAAATTGAAACAGTGCCCAACAAAATTGCCACTCTTTGTACGCAAATTTTGTTAAAGTATGTAATACGAAGGTTGTGGACCCTCTAGACCCTCTGGAGTCTAGAGGTCACAATTTTTATCCGATTTTGATGAAACATAAAACATATCTTTATATCCCAAAGACCTCAGTCCCTTTTGATATTTGCGCATTTCAGACCATAACTTTCTGGATTATTGCCCCTGATTGTACAAAAAATCACATTTGTTTTTAGCCTGTTCTCTATCCATCTCTTTCAAAATGTGGGCGTATCCCGCCTGCCAGCCGCTTGTGTTTCTGTTTGATAGTTTAAATATGTATTTGTACAATGCAGCTGGTCATTCATTCCTTTTATTTTTAAGGGGGGGTTGGATGGCCGAATGGTTAGCACGTGCGCGCTGTATCATAAGACCTGTTATTGAGTCAACTAGCGTGGTTTCGAATCCCCGGTTGTACATCACAAGGAGTAGGGTCGCCTGTCCAACCTTGTGGGTTTTCTCCGGGTCCTCCAGTTTCCTCCCACTGCTAAAGACCCCTACGTGCAAGCGAATTATTGAAATAAAATTAAACCATATGTTAGTCCCGAAATGACCTAGTTTGTGTCGAGTGGACGTTAAACCCCATTTCTCTCTCTGTCTCTCTCTATTTTTAAGGTATTGTGATTCAATACTATCTTATTATCTATATGTGAATTATTAAATGTGAAGTAGATTTTGTATTATTTTCTCGCCATAAGAGCCGTAATGTTTTCAATGTCAAGGCAGAGAATGTGGCTGAATAGTGTTTACCGCAGCCCAAGATTGATCAACCAAAACAGATAAGCTAACTGGGGAGCCGGGTCTCGGCGAGTAAATCATCTGCGGTGTCGGTCGAGCTGGTGAGACAGGACAGTCTCGAAATGACTTCTAAAGTTTCGAGCCGAGTGGAGTAACTTGGCTAAGAATAAAGTAATTTGATCAACTTTTCTTTTTGAAAGAATGACCAGCTTCCTCTAAATCTTGCATAATGTATCTTTATCAAGCTAATACAAATATATTAGTAGCTGTTTTCTTTGATATTGTGTTATAGTTTATTATTTAGTTTTAATCGAAAAACTGAAGTCAGATGTACACATACATGTAGGCGTTCACGTAAAAGTACCCTTGGCATATGAAATTCGATATAAGTGTAGGCCATAGGGCTGCTTTCCAGGAAGAAATTCCCTCATAGCATCCTGTTTGGCATATGCCCGTCTTCATTAGCCCTCTAAATTACAGTTACACTGACTATCAGTTCTTCACCGTTTGATATTTATTTTTTTTTATGTATATCTTACATTGTATGTATATTTTTTAAGTATTTATTGAGATTAAAACATTCTTGCATTTATGGAAGTAACCCTCTGAGTTACAGTTATCGGTTAGTTCTTCACCATTATATATTGATATTTTATTTGTGGAGTTATTTTTTTTTTTTTAATCTTTCAGATCTGAATAGAGCAATACACAAAAACACATACTTATGGAGAAACAGCTACTTATTTATTTAGGCGACGTTTCGAAGAGTATTCTCTTAACGTTATCAAGTTAATACAGTAATACAAGAATAATAATACTCTTCAAAACTTCGCCCAAATAAATTAAGTAGCTGTTTTTATACGCCCACATTGAAATGTGGTCGTATATTGATGTCAACCCTGTCCGTCCGTCCGTCCAGCGTCCACAATTGCTGGTGAACGCTCTCTAGGCTAAAGTTAATATCCGATTGACTTTAAATTTATACACAGTGTTTAGGGTCATGAGACGAAGAAGCCTATTGATTTTCAGCGATCAATTACTGTCGGAGAT